GGTCCAGCGGTGCACACTGCGATCGGATCCTTGCGGTTGAGGTCCAGGGGTGCACACTGCGATCGGATCCTTGCGGTTGAGGTCCAGGGATGCACACTGCGATCGCATCCTTGCGGTTGAGGTCCAGGTGTGCACACTGCGAGGGGATCCTTGCGGTTGAGGTCCAGGGGTGCACACTGCGATCCGGAGCTGGCCAGACAAGATCGGCGAAGCAGATTGGCGATGAAGATTGGCGAGGAAGGAAGCAAGGAGGAAGGAGGAAGGAGGAGGACGAGGAGGCGGCGGAGGCGGAGGCGGAGGAAGAACAACTGTGATAAAATCTAACAACCCTCACCTGGCAGGTGGGGAAAAAATCCTTTAAACAAAATCCTAAATTAAATGGCCCTCCTTAAACAAATCTTTACTTCAGCCGCAACCAATAATCATGCGCAACATTCGTGGGAGGAATTTACTTTGCCTTTGGCCATCACCACAAGATCTGCTCCGGAGAAAGGGCACTATTTTGGCCTAAGACTATTTTGGCAGGTTGAGATATCTTGAGATGTTGTTCAATGAATTTAATGCTCCAACGGACTCCAACCCGCAACAAACTTGCCAAGTGCAAATTTGCCAAGTGTCTTTGACCCGTCTCCACCAGTTGATAAACTCCTCTTCATCAAAGCGGCCAGCGGAATCGGTGCCCATCACCGCGGATTGGATGGCTAATCCGAAGCGATCCTTTTTGGCTTTAGTGCTGTTGCTGGAATTGGAAGCAATCCGATAAGAGGAGAGCATCGGCAAAACCTTGTTGCATCCTTCCACCTCCTTGCCTGAATAAAACTGCTCAATGCATGCCATGGCGAGTGGTGCCAACGCTTCAGCATGAAACACCGTGAAAAGCATCAACTCAAGCAAATAGGAAGCTTCAGTTCGATTTGATCCCTTCAAAACATGCAAAGCCTTGGATGAAACTCTGGGAGCTGCTGGACAAACCTCATCCGCAGAAAGGTTGCGGACAAGGCTGGTTTCGCAATCCTTCTCGATTCCACCCCACACGGCCTGAATGCCATTCGCACAGCTTCCACTCCGAGCTTCGGTATCTGGTCTCGGGTTCACGGCACCATCCATGACCACTCGGTGAGTCACTTCAGGAAAAATCGAAGCGTAAACTCCGGCAACAGAGGTTCCATAAGATGCACCGTACCAGGACATCCTGTCTGCACCAATGGCCCGTCTCAACAAGTCCTTGTGCCAGTCTCTCGCGGGTTGAAGACACAAAATGAGAACAGGAGCCATCAAGCGTGCGCGTGTTTAACACACAACACGCCTTGAATGCACTCAGGAACTGCACCAACATCGAACTACAATTGTTTCTACTAGCTACATCAAACTCCTGCCCCCCTTCCTCACAGTTTATATATACCAGTAAAGTGCAATTGCCCTCAAAAGCCCTAAACGAGTGGAGCTAGGGTTGCAACATAGTCACAACGTCTTGAATCTCATCCCAGAGTCAATGTCGTGGGCACAATCGACGGTGCTGGCAAACTGCATGGCGTTGTACACACGTCCATTAGGCGCCCTCATCTTGTATCGTGGGGTCTCGTAGCACAAGCTGTTCTCCAACTTCACCAGGCGATAATACCATCGGACAAAGGTTTCCTTTGTTGATTGCAGCACCGAACTTCTCAGTTGTGTTTCAAAACGACTTATATTGATGCAAGATGATGCAAGTATAGCCCCCGCATGCACTGCAACAAACAAAACACCGGTTAGGCCCTAGGCTTTGGCTCTTCTTGGCTTCGCAGTTCATATTGAAAAGATATTGTGGGAACCGGCCCGCACAAAAAGAACAACACTACAGCGAATTTCTGTGTAGTGAGTAGGCTTCATTTGTGGGAGCCATGTCTGCATAGGGGATCTTGCCACTCCGCCAAATCGGTTCGACATACGTCTTCCAATCGTGTTCCACGGAAGCATTACCCTGAATGGGAGTCAGCAGCTTCATCAGCTTCCGCGGCTCCTCCACATACTTTGCAATCTCATCACAGTAGATGGTTGGAAATCGGCTCAGCGGACGACCAGACAGGTTGAAGGGGCATGGAGGAACTTCTCCCCACTTTCCTGCACGCTCATACCTGTCACTGGACGTGTTAACTCCCCTCTGATCGATTGATAGCAAATCAAAGTCTGAGATGATTGCATGACGCCCATCAATGTCGAAGTTCGCAGCGCTCATGGTCATTGCACCTGACTCATCAGTTTCCTCTTTCAAGCAAGCTTACCTAAGTTTGTTCTTACTCGCCACCAACTATATAATTCTCTGAAACATGGAGAACCAGGCTGAATTGAACGCTGACTGGGCACAATCGCGACCACTGCCAGGTCCTCCACAGTGGGCTAACATAGGCCCGTTCTTGGCTGGAGGTTTCAAGGCTGCCAGGCCTCGAACCCTCAAACACACATAGGGTGGCATCTCGAACTCCATGAGCGCAGGATCCTCAGGATGGTCAAGAAATGTGAATGACACAAATGACGACTGGAACTCACACTTAGTGCAAAATGCTGGAGATACAATTCTCTCAAAATCTATCACTAATATCATTCGCCAACCCTCCTCTATCAACATCTCCCTAAAAATTAACCTGGGATCCTTTCTCTTGTTTGAGTGGCCGGCATACAAACCTGGCTTGAACAAACCTGAGATATTCACCGACCCACAAAGGTTGAGCCCAGGCTTCATGGACCAATGGAACCTTCAACCAGCCGTTGTAGATGGTTCGATTCACTCGGCCGGTGGTCGAGTTCAGGGCGCTGTGCATAATGCGGTCCCAAATCAAAAGTTCTGGATCTGGCTTCTCAAAGGACCACGCCGCCTGTGACCAAGACAACTGGAATGCAGTGGAGAACATGTTGGTTTTCTTTTGTAAGGCCAACTGTGGCAAAAGTTCAACGTATGAGGACAGTGCCAACCAAATTATGAATGACTATAAACATGTTCTGGTCCTGTATTCACACTTCCCCTTTGATCATCGCATTGGGCATTCTTGATTCGTTTGATATCATCGTTCAAAGCGTCAGGCCAAAAAGCAGCAGCCAGGGTCAATGCTCGGAAACCCACGCCAAAAAGCTGCGACATCAAGAGGAATTGACTATATTCCTTACCACATTCATCGAAATTCTAAGGCGTCAGTTGCCACTTCATAGAGACCATCTCATATCATATTGCTTTGGACATTCCTACTCACAAGCTTCTTAGGGCGCCAGCGGTCTGAAAACGGCCATTGGGCCTGAGAAGTCTTCTGGCCCCGTAGCTGCCGGAGGGACATGCCCTCATCACAATCGTCCCAATCGCAACTCGCCACGATCTCAAGGATCAGGACCAACAAAAGGAAGCACCACTGGGAGCACCGCATGGCACCGTCTCCGGAAAATTGCTAAGCTCGATTTGCTCGAGCTTTGCTGCGCTTTTTTTTTTTTGCGGTGGGGCGGTAGGATGTCACTTTGTGGGGAAACATCTGATGACGCAGTCCAATCCAAGCGATCCATGCTTAATTCCAACTTGCAAACAAATTATATATAAGTGTCGTGGATCCCTCTCCCTCTCTTCTCTCCCTCTCCCAGTGCTATGATGAAACATGGCAATGATATGCAACCTCCATCCGATGCCAAGCGGCAGGCAACGCAACTAAATGGATCATTCATACGCAACGCAACTATGTGTGCAATGTGTCCATCTCAATGACTTCAATGTCTGCAACTATCTGAATCCTGTTCCTAGACTCCTAGCACATGCCAAACCAGCCATACAGCCACTGGGTTAAACGGTGTCACGTCCGACTCCTGGGTTGACAAGGTCCGCAACTTCTCGGCGACGCCCTGATTCTCAAAAAAGTCACCTTTGGGCGACAAGAATACTCGCCAGTCTTGTTGACGAGCTCGATCGCATTGATCCAGACTTACCGTAGCCAAAAACAAGGTTACTGAGGGTTGAACTCTTACGAAGGGGCAGGGGACTACACTGACGCTACAGGATTGCCATGCATTGGGCTCTTGGGCTCTTGGTGGCCTTGCGAGACCAATCATAGAAAAACACAAAAACAAAACTTGTTGCACCTGACACACACCTTCAACCTGCAGCTCCGCAGTACACCGAAGTTCCATACATCCTCTGAAAAAACACAACTTTGCTTTGGGGCTATGTCCGGGCTTTGTTGTTGGTACCACAATGCGTTTGTTGAAGTCTGCGGGATTGGTGCAGCGGAAAAAATACCTCGAGAGCGTGAAACCATGATGGCTTCGAACGAGCATCATAGCCTATAGCTGCTTGAAAGTTTCAATCATAGCCCCAAAACAGGTCATTGATCCTTACAATGTCTTCGAAGCTGTTGCTGGGGGCCGCATGAGGGTCCAAAGGTTGATTGAAAGATTGTTTTGTCAATCTCTCCCACATCATGGCCGTACAATCAAGCGAGATCTTCCAAGTGGCGGTTGTTTTCAAACGGCCCTTTCATCCAGGCAGGGCTTTCCGGAGACACAATGGAGTTGTTGGCCACCTCTGCTCGCTCTGCATGGAGCGGCTTGTTGAAAAGACCATCTGTTGGGGAGTAGTGGAGTCTCAAAAATATTCAAACTGATGGTAGCAAGGTCGATGAGGAGTCTCATGCCACAGCGGATCAAAAGGACTCACACTGTGAGGATCATGATTCTGTTGCATCCAATCTTTGGCAAGGAGCTTTGCCAGTATCTTGATCTAGCACAGTTCCCTTCTTTTTGTCCCTGGACTCCTTGCAGCTGCACGACTTGCTGAACGAGAGGAATGTAGTTGCGACAGCACTGGGACAACACGTCTGATTCTGCAAATGTTCACGCTCCATCCGCAATCAGCTAAGCCTACTCTTCTTAAACCATTCACATCACTTCATCTCAATAGGCAAAACGAGACAAACACAAGCGCCTTTGATCTGTCACCTGCGTATCTGCCACGCGATTCTCGTGCTGAGTTGGGCCTTTTCCGAATGGTCTCCTGGCGGAGGTTCCAATTTAACACCAGGAAGTTCATTAAGAGCCAGGTCCTTGTCAACTCATGCTGCGCAGTTAAACAACATTCCTTACATGTCACAGGCTGAATTCCCTTTGCGATTGTTGGTTCTTCCAATGTGCACTCATCTTCTGTAGCAGCAGCACCATGGATGCTGTTTCCCCTCAGGGAAATCTACAGTAAATACTATGCCAAACAATCAAGCAAACTGTTCTTCGTTGGTGGGAGGGGTCACGACCGACAGCATCAAGATCTGGAGGGTCCTCAAACGCAGCACGGTGACTAGCACCAGATTCCAAGGGAAAATCATCCCTCAGCTGATTCTGATCTGAGACAGATCTGCTTCAGTCAGAGTCGAACGAACCGGTTAGGTCAACCCAATGTTGTGCACCTGTTTTTGTTCTCTCCCTTTTTCTGCTGAGTCTAGCTGTCAAACAGCTGTTTGACAGGGACTGCCATGGATTGATTCTTTTGCAATCGGCCTCTATACATACTTCACCATGCAAAAAGGGGAGACAGGAAGAAGAAAATTAGGACGTGACTGACCCGTGATGGTTTACACAATCACTGAAGACGTCTTGAAGACGTCCTAAAGAGAGAACCAAAATTATTTTTGGAAAACAACTGGGCCAAGTGACCTCTAGCTTCATCTAGCTTCTAAAGTAGATTGTAGGGAGACCGTTGAATACTGGACTGAAGCATGAATTCATATGAATCCATTTCAACACTTGAGACTGCGAGAGTCAATACTACAACATGCCCCAACTGGAATGAAGAATCCTCGCATGAAGACTAACCCCCGAACAGCGTAGGCAGCAAAGCACAAGCGACCCCTGTTTTGACAATGAGACTATGACTGCAACGAGGTGCAGTGGTAGGTATAACATATAACGGTATATTATTTGGACTATATATATATATATAGATAAGCCAACATATTCAGGTTCTATATGCCCAAGATTAACCCTGCACCATCAGCTGAAATCTGCCCGCTGCCGTGTCCATGTCTATGAGGTAGCGAGTGGAGTTGGCAGGCTTCTTAGTTGTGCAAGGGCATTTTCTATTTTTGGTTGGTTGGATGACTAATGGCGGAGGACTTGTTGCCATGCCTGTTGGGCCATTGATCAGTAAGAATGTTTTGGTTTTGTGTGATCTGCCCTGACACACCAGGCGGGCGTACGCAGAACCAGCAGAACGGTATAACATCTCCAAGAAATTTTCAGAAAGGGCAATGCTTTCACTACCCCAGGCCCCAAAGCCAAGGCTCGATTGCTGTGCTTTGTGAACCACCCTGCCAGTCCTCAATAGATTCAATAGAGCACACTGGGGACCATGGATCGGAAAAAAATACAGAAGCCAACCAAAAGAAACAAACACACACAACAACTATATACTATAATATATATATATACACTTGTATATGTATACAACTATTGAATGCTGGCAAGCAACATTGGATGGACCATATTTCCACCTTTATTCCGCGTGGTGCTGTCCCAAAAGCGCTCCGTGGTCACACCAGCAGCCCTGACAATCAACCCCCACGCAAAGTTCCAAGCAATATCGCCAATATAGAATGATCAAAATGCAAAACACCTGAAAGTTACTCACCCGGCTCTCAAGCGGTTTGTCCTTGCGCTGCTTGTTCAGCGAACCAAAATCGTCATTTGGTCCGAAATTGGCTGGTTGGTAGGACGGCGGCAATGACAACAGCACAATGCCACCGTTTGCTGTCTCAGCCTCGTATCACCTTGTTCAGCTTGCGGTCTTGCGGATCTGTTGCCTGGAAAGGCTCTGCGAGGCATGGAGGAAACAGCAGCAAGGAGAGCCAGCATTGTAGCCACAGCATTTCATATGGCTGTGGGTCATGGCACCCGTATCCCCAAACCAGGATAGGTTCGATAGGTTCGGTTGACCTGCTGAATAGTCCATTCGGTTCGGGTGGTCAACCCAGGTCGCCCAGCACCATGACCCACAGCATCCCACAGCCACGTTCTACTCGTTTTGGACGGCCTGCAAGGGGTGACCGAGGAACGCCCTGCTTCTGAGGTGGACCCAAACAAACCTGACTTTGTCAACAAGTGTATGATATAGCGTATGTATGAAATACAGCCATGGCCTGAAACAGCAGAAGCGTGCCCTGAAACCATCCATTGTCTTCTTTATTATTTCATCAACATCGCAGGTGTACTTACAATCCTTTTCTTCGGCGGTAGCAGCGTTGCTAAGTGACCTTGTATCTTCAATGAGAGCACATTAGACTCAATGGACTTTTGACATTGGCTACTATAGAGCTCCTTGGCACAGTCTCATGATCATTCTGGAACTCCAGCCTTGGTTCATCACCTGCACAACTGCTGCACTTCTCATCCATTCTGGAACACTTTCCTTGGAAGTTGTGTCAAGCTGCTCTGTTGTCCAAAAATCATACCGCCGTTGCACTACAAATGCTATATGTAAGGCTGTTTTGTAGAAGTCTGTGCATCTCTCTCTCTCTCTCTCTGTCTCTGTCTGTGTCTCTCCCCGTCTTAACCAAGATTCTGAAACCAGGAGGTGCTGCATCTCACTGGCACCTGGATCCAATCGACAGGTGCTAAGTTTTTGCCAATCTGCTTCTACATAGCTCAACCAGCGTTTCTGCAGCCACAGGGCTCTTGTCACGAGGAGTCACTTCAGAGGTGAACCTGCAAACAACTGCAGTCGTAAGAGTGGCAATGGACAGCGTCGATATGTTTTGATCATCTCATGCAAGAAAAGCCTTGGACATGTGCAAACATATCAACAATCGATCCATTGTTGTTCCATCTTGGTCAACAGTTATGCGAAACTGTTCTTGCTCTATGCAACTGAATCTTGATATACGGATGTACGGGTGACAACTCCGCCACAGCGCCTGTCTTTTCCGGCCTCACTGCACATGTTGCCGCTCATGTGGGCAATAAGTAAGGATGTTGTCTTCACGAGAAAGCAAAGCAAAAAAGGGAAAAAAATCGGAATGCTTTAAAGAATCTGTAAACTCAGAATGATGTCAAACTAAAGGCATGGTCTTGCAACATCTTCCATCTCGAGTCTGCCAACCGAGAATCTCGTTCGCCCATCCGCCGGGGAGTGTTTGGAGATGCCGCCGTCCATTTGCGGGCACTGTTCATCCAATCAGGGGTGTTCCTTACAGGGCAGGATTGCTAACAAACACTCCATGTATGGACTTTTGGCATACCTTTGGGTAGCTTCAGGGGTCGGGGTGAATGTAGTAATGCATAAATATGCCAGTCCCATGCCAGTCCCGTGAAGTGCTTGGGATTCGCATTGATTGTCGTTACTTCTTCAGTAGTTGCAGGAGATGATGTGCTCAAGATTGAAGTTGCCGATTTATCTGAAACCTGAACATCTCTGAACTAGACTCGAACGGATTGATGCAATAGTCCCTAACTAGTGTGCTTCGTTTGTACATCTACATGCTGCCAACTGAAGTGCTGGGGTCCACCCTGCAACCTCTGCCAAGGTACGCTGAACCTAGGTTTTGGCTAAGGGCAACTCCAGTCTCGTCACACATCCTGAAGCTGCAAAGCTCGTGAGCAAAAAGAACACACACACATGAACACAAGTCTTCCCAGCATTGCAGTTGAGCTTGCACATGGAGCAATTGGTCATTTAATATGGCCCCATACGTAATCGATCTGTTCATGGCCATAACTGTGAGCTTGTCGTTAGGCTGCAGCCAAACTGCATATTTGTGCCGCTTTTCTTGCCCTTGGCTCTGGCGGAGCTTGACACGCCCGCAGAACTTTCTCCTGCCACATGTGTTGCGCCATTGGGCAAACGCTGCAACTTGCAGTTGCCAAAATTCCAGCCACTATGAACCAAGCATACATCACATTCCATCACATTCGGTTGCGAGCCAAAAAGCGCGCCTATGTCTGCCTTCTTCAGCCTTTGGGCCAAGCCTTGCTTCTCGAAGTAGGAACGGTTGTTTTCAAAGAAAGACTTCATCCAATCCTCAGCCAAAACTGTCAGATGTCATCAGTGACTTACCACAAAATGAATTTATGATTTGTGACACCTGATAACTGATAGAACCTCTGCCTGCAATTGAACTATAAAATCTTCAACAATGCCGCTTACACACGTGGACGTCATCAAAGTATTCCAAAAGGGCGACACAAACACACAAAAAAATCAATCTTCTTCAACCTGCAAACTCAACCCTGACAATCGAGCAAATCTTCAAACACACAGCCTCATGCTGCCTCTTCTAGTTTCAAACGAAGTGTCGGGACTTTCTACTGAGACAATGGTCTTGTTCTGGATTCGGCCTGTGTCCACTGCCTCGCAAAGCATCTATAACAGCCCTAATTAGATAATTATTTTCACTGAGTCTCAATGGGTTGGCTGCGAAAACTTTTCAGAGTACAGGTGTTAGGCGTCGTTTTGGTGTGAAGGAAACTTTGAGAAACCTAGACCTACACTGATCGAGTTCAAGTGCTTGTCTAAACTAACCACTTGACCGACCCTGTATGTTGAAGAACCACTCACTCGCGGACTCCTTGCTCTGCCAAATGAGAACCCAAAGGCGCACCGTGATGTTCATCCGTTTCCCCGGGCGCCAGTCATCTGTGTCACCAATTCGGCCTTCCAAACATGACACAGGATCTGGAGCAAACATGCAACACTTAGCACTCCCGTGCCGCAGATTCCAAACCGCAAGGGCTCCTACATTTTATCACTCTTGTATGAGAATTCCAGCCACACCAAGCTCTAAATGCCAAAGCAATGAACAAAACACACGCGAGATCTGAAAGCCCCCGTGACGGCCTTTCTCATTCACACAGGTGAAAGGCTTGGGCTGAGTTGACTCAGACTTGGCACCTGACAGCTCTACAGTTGGGCAAAGTGGGTCCAAGTACCACGCTGGTGCTAGCTGCATTGCCATCTGTGCGCAACACACCATTGAAATATTGAATGCCTGGCAAAGCCTTGAGCTTCTCTTCCGCCAGGTTCCCCTTTAGAGGAACCTTCCTTATCTTCCTTGACCCTGAGTGGAGGCCAAGTCTATTTTGCGGGGATAGTCCTTGGTGGCTTTGCACATGCATTAGCCCATCCTAAGAAATATACCGAAAGGAAAGCAGCAACATGGCAGGCTTCCAAACCTCTCGTGAACCCAGCATGCGACTCAAGCGCAACATGCAATCATAACCCAAATTTGCAGGGACCCAGGAGGGTCCTGATCTGCAACAAGCCCGTGTTTTTGTGCTCTCTCTCTCTCTCTCTCATGACTCGTCCCGGAGTCGAATGGTGATTCTACCGAAAAAATAAAATTGGTGTGGAATGATATTGAACGTAGAACCAGCCAGGTATATATAGGGGGTTCATTCCAAGAGTTGCAGTCACATGATGCGGCAAGCAAACTCACAAGCTTCCTCCAAACCGACGCACTCAGCTGCAGCTAAAGCGCTCTTGGTGATTTTGGGTGTGACTGGAGTGCTCCGAGATCCGCGCTGGTAGCTTGTCATGGCGATCGGCAGGCACACTGAGCGAGTGTTTTGAAAACCAATTTGGAACAAAGGCAGGTCCGCTAGAAGCTGTCGATGTTGCGCTTGATTATTGCCTTCCAAATCGGTGACTCTTGAGATTCATGTCCCAAGCCTAGAAGCTAAGAAGCCTCACACTGGTCAGGATGCTAGGCGCACTGGTCAGCCAATGGGCCAAGAACGCAAAACTCCAAACACATGTCAGAAATCAAACACCACATGACCAAAAGCATCAATCAAAAACCTGCATGAAATCAAACCTCCATAAAACTGGAGGCAAGTTTGTCACGTGAGCTTCAATTCAATTGCACCTCTGACATGATCTGAACTGGTACTAATGAAGTCTGATTGTTGCATTCTGCTAGTGTACGTTCTGACCCATTCTTGCACTTGCAATGTGTGCACGCTAGCCACTAGCCATGCTCGCGGCTCCAATTTTCCACGGTGCCTACATCATCGGCTCCAGGGTGCGACGTGGGCTGTGGCTACGGTCAGAACGACTGGTGTCCTTATCTGACCACGGTATTTTCTGGGGCTCAACGAGATTCGTAAATGTGGGCCATGTCACAACATGTGGAAATCTCACACTGATTGATGTTTTATGTTGTTTTGCAAACCTCAGAAATGGTGTATATAATTGGTGCAAGGGTAGTACAATGCCCTGTGCCAAGCATCTGGACACCAATGCAGGGTGCTGGCTACTCTGGTCAAATCACACCCTCAAAGAACCTGTCTTTACCTCAGTGTGCAATCTGAGTTCTAGCAGTAGGTGCTACAACTGCACAATCACATCGTTCTCAATTTTTTGGCGCCCTCCAGTATCTTGACTCTCGCACCTTACGCCTTCAGTGAATTCATTTCCACCTAAGATCTTCATACCTGACATGGAAGGGTCGTTGACCCAACTGCAAGCGATTGTTTTTCGAACACATGACGGATCCAAGTGATCTTGTCTCGCGGCAAGTTGCGGTCCGTTGCGGTCTGCATCTTCGTGTGGATGTTATCGGGACATTGAAGCCGCCAAGCGTGCCAGGTCTTGCTTTAGGTAGGGAGGTGGCGGTATGGTGCCACCCAATGATGTTATCAGCGACTTCAGCTCCGTGATTGACTTAGACATCATTGCCTCTTCTGCTGGGCTGAGGTTGGAATTCATCATCAACCCTGGGCCACAGCCCATGCCACCCATGCCACCCATCCCACCCATGCCGCCCATGCCCATGCCCATACCTTTGCCACCCATGTTAGGGCAGCACCCCCCACAACCCCCTTTGCAGCCACAACTGCAGCCTGAAGTACCTGGGCCGCACCCACAACCACAACCACAGCTTCCGCAGCCACAACCGCCACAGCCTGGCGGCCCACAGCCTGGAGGTCCACAGCGACCGCAGCCGCCGCAAGCTCCGCAAGCACATCCTCCACATCCACACGGGCCACCACAGCATCCACAACCGCCTGGACCGCTCGGACAGGCTCCACATCCACATCCACCACAACCTCCACAGCAACTGCCGCAGCCGCTGCCGCAGCCACAGCCACCACAGCTGCCACAACCACACAGATTTCCACAAGCTCCACAGCCACAAGCTCCACCGCATCCCTTGCCGCATCCTCCACAGGGCCCTCCTCCGCAGCCACAAGCACCACATCCTCCACAAGGTCCACTGCATGGCCCTGATGCGCCACAGCTACACCCACCGCCACCGGTTGCTTTTAATGATCCATTTCTCTGCCCATCCTGGGATGGATCAAAACCAGCATTTCCTCCATCAACACCTCAGCTGAAAATGCTGACAAAAAACATACAAAAAACAACTTTGGGCACTTTGGAGTCTGAAGTGTCTTCCAATCAAAGTTTTCAGGGACTTGGCAGCTGCGCATGCAGCTGGACGGTACAAGTGGCACATTCCATGGCGACTTCAGCCTCGAATGGCCTTTTGCCGCGAAAGAGTTCCAAACACGGCTCTAGTGGCGGAGGCCCTTCTCCTCTGTCGCCAGCTCCCAGCAGCAAGCGGGCTGTCCGATGGTGACTTGGGATCTACATCAATCCATCAACCTACTCAAAAAGCAAACAAAGACTGAGGGATCCCGCTTTACTCGTAGCCCAACTCCTAAGGAAAACCTTGGTTGCGAGTTCATTGTCAAACGTTGGCTGTTGGCGGTCTGTCGATCCTCGGTTAGGCTTCAAAGCCACTCCATCTCAAGTGTCTCACAGGCAACTGACATGCCGTGACATACATGCCGCGAAAACAGGCAAGGACTGACAATTGGTGCCAAGATTCGTTCATCTATATGAAAGCCAAGCCAGCTTCCCTTCTCCATTCATGGCCCGAGTGAATTTTCTCAAGACCAAGGCGGACACGAGTTGCAACAAACCGAGTCACTAAGCGAATGAAAAATGCTCGGCAGGAAGAGGACACCCAAATTTATTGATGTTTCACTTCTGTGGCCAACGACGCTCAATGTGACTCCCATCTGGGCTACTCTGCATTTTCCGTTGACTGCGGATGTTCGTTTGGCAGCTTTTGACAAAGGAGTTGTTCTAGACATATTTGAGCCGGGTGTTGTGGGGCACCCGCCCTCTTCCTGGGAGCTTTTGTCATTCCACTCTCTGGCCAAGGGACTGGGAGGCATTGGGCTGCCAGCCTTCATTGTAGCGGAGCCCTGGACAATCTGCTTTGCTTGGTATTCCTGTTGCCTCGCAAGAGATTCGAAGCAGCGGCAGCGCCAGCTCTATGTGGAACAACCCACAGTCAGTCAGAAACATGTGCATGAATCAACATGTTCAGTAAATAGTATAGTATAGTATAGTGTTTATATGATATAATATAACACATTTTAGTAAAATATAGTATAATCAAGAATATATATATATATAACTATATAGTACTATTATTGTTAATACATTGTTTGTTTGCTTGCTTGCTTGTTTGTTTGGGCACATTTCTAGCACATGTTCATGGCGGCATGCTAGATATAGGCTTCTGCGGCTGCTCGCCAGGCTGCTGCTGTTGCATCATCCGGCGGATCTCTGCTTCCATCGGGTCATCAGCTGCCTCACCCCTGAGCGCATCTCGTCACGAAAAAGAAACTGCCAAATCCAAAAGAATCCGCGACAACTCCCAAACAAGCCGCTAGCCTCCCAAAAACCACGGCCGTGGGTCCAAATCTGGGTCAGAATAGCTGCATGATATCTGCATAATATAATTATACAGTATTCTATGATTGTCATGCAGCGACTCAGCCAGGTCTTGTGGTTTCCACATGGACACATCGACCCAACACACCAAAACCAAAACCTGTCTGTCTTTGGGTTTTGGGGCCTTTCTTCCCATCACAGCTCACTAGTGAAGGTTACTAAATCCTCTTTGTGGCCCTATCAGAATCAACCAAAGACACTCTTCGCCCACGAATCCCATCGCCAAGGAGCGGTGTTTGCAGGTCTTGCCCTGCGTTCGGCGAAAGCAGGGCAAATGTTCCGAGCGCAAAAAAAAGAGGACTCTGGAGTCTGGAAGTTAGCTGATCCAATATCATGCACACAAGCAATCGTCCGGAAGCTGGCAATCAATGGGGGCGATGGGGCTCATTGAGTGTAATTGGTCCTTTGTCCTCAAAGCCACTTCATGTGCCCAATCTGCCTGAAACAGCTAGCAGTTCAGGTGGTGGTGGTGGAGGGGGTCGGTTCAAGCCCAGCTTCATGGCCGCGTGGCTGGCTGCCTGTGACGAGTGGGATGCTCTCTCTCTCTCTCTCTTTCTCTTTCCCTCTCCGTTGAACTGCTGTGTCCAAGCTTTGATGATATACAAATCTCAACTACTACGATTGCATATTCAAAGAATCCTAAACATGGCCCCAACGATTTGCCACTATGACCAGTTCAGATTCGCATGTTGATCCTGAAACATGGCAAAAGGCACACGCGCGCGCACACACTCTGACATTGGTTTTCTGTTAACTCAATTCCCAGGTGGAAGAAAGGCGAAAGAACGGAAAGGCGATAGGTCCAAGCAACTGAAGGTGTTTTAACACCTATGCATTAGCCGCTTTACTGAATACCTAGCAGACCGCCTATGCAGTAGCCGCTTTACTGAATACCTAGCAGACCGCCTATGCATTAGCCGTTATACAGAAAACCTAGCAGACCGCCTATGCATTAGCCGTTTTACAGAAAGCCTAGCAGACCGCCTACGCACTAGCCGCTTTAAACAGTTTTAAACAGTTTTGCAGGTACGTTTTCACACCTACCACTGCCGGTCTTCGTTGGCCACAGCAGCAGTGGCAGGTCCGTGGTCCCCTGCTTCTTTTGGTCCTAGTAGTAAGGTCAGAACCTACTAGTAGCACCCAGCCTTCTAGTGGAACCGACGGTAAAAAAATACCAGGCAAAACCTTAGGAACAGGTGTTGACACACACATAGTGCCGCTATCGGCGCTCTGTGTGCAACAACTTTGTACATATAGCGCCAGTTTTGGCGCGGCGGAAAAATTACTAGTCACCTAAAAAGCCTTAGAAAGACAAACAAAGAAAACAAAACAAAAGCAGACTAAGAGGGCAAGAAAGAAAGATAGGTGTAGTTACGAGGCCCACTTAGCTAAATGAAAGTAGCTCGCGAGCGGGACCTTTGTCTTAGACCGCTCGGGTAGCTAATAGATAGGAGAAACAGAAGGAAAGGCACCAACACACAAGTGTGTTGAGTGCGATTTCCTTCTGTTGCCCGAACAGCGGGTGGGATAGCAACGGGGGCCTGGGGGTAGGGAGGGGTGCCGTGTCTCACCGTTCACCGTGGAAACTTGTTGAAGGGTCTCCTATTCGAGTCTCCAGTTCCAACGCAACCCCATGCCATGAAACTTGGTATTTCCGTGAAAGCCCGGCGGCTGTTGAGACAGTCAATCCAGTAGTGAAAAGTGGGCAGTTAAGAGAATCCAAGGATTGGTGGAAAAGGAAAATCCGTTACACGATTTCCAGCATGAATTCAGCGCCCCAGTGACGGGGATCACACCCAGCACCCAAGTGGGACGACTGAGCGGTTCACACTCTGACATTGGTTTTCTGTGAACTCAATTCCCAGGTGGAAGAAAGGCGAAAGAACGGAAAGGCGATAGGTCCAAGCATTTGAAGGTGTTTTAACAAAAGGTTCAGCTCCTATGCATTAGCCGCTTTACTGAATACCTAGCAGACCGCTTTACTGAATACCTAGCAGACCGCCTATGCATTAGCCGTTTTACAGAAAACCTAGCAGACCGCCTACGCACTAGCCGCTATAAACAATTTTAAACAGTTTTGCAGGTACGTTTTCACACCTGCCACTGCCGGTCTTCGTTGGCCACAGCAGCAGTGGCAGGTCTGTGGCCCCCTGCTTCTTTTGGTCCTAGTAGTAAGGTCAGAAACTACTAGGAGCACCCAGCCTTCTAGTGGAACCGACGGTAAAAAATACCAGGTAAACGTTAGGAACAGGTGTTGGCACACACACACACACACTTAGATCCATGATCGCAAGAGCTAAATCGGTTTAGTAACTCCAGTGTTACTGCAAGTAGACCTTTACATAGTACAGTATTAAGCCTTGGCTGAGGGAACGGAAAGGTGGCTGAGTCCGCAAGAATAGAAATGTTTAACATCACGCGTTAGCCCTTGAGTGGAAAGTGGTGTAAACGGCCTGGTCAACAGCTCAAAAAAGAGAGAGAGAGAGAGATTAAAAACACAGGAGTGATCAGCTCCCGCTTCCTAGGACTAGTGCAAAGAGCTTCGTTGGGCAAAGCCTTGCACGTCCTCTCTGCCCCGCTGCAACCCTATGCAACAATGGAATTAAAAGTTCCTAAAGGTCAGAGGCAAACAAACAATATATGGCCATTCTCCCTTGGAACGGGAGGTGACACACACACACACACACACTTGAGAAGGTTGCTCCGCGGAGCGTGATTTCAAGCTGTTCGCGGGGATCATTAGCCCTTTAGGTGAATACGTAGCACTTGACTTGATTCAACTGTATGAAGTGAAGAGTCCGCTCACTTGAATGTTTCAACAAGATGCATTAGCTCTTTAACGTATATTAAAAATTTGCAGGTACACAAGAAGGCGTCCCTTCTCGCTTCACAATCTCAAACCACCGTCTTCATTGGGCAGTGGATGGAATGAGATTCACTGCCCCCCTGCAGAGTTGCTGTACAGCACTTCACTTGAGCGAGCATGAGTAGCTAGAATAGTGCCCTTGGAAACAGTGGTTAACACGCACAGAAAGCCGAAATCGGCGCAGCTAGTATAGATGCAGCGCTGCAGCACAATGTTCTTTGGGATGTCCTTGCATTTGACCGCTTCTTTTTTGCTTTCCTTTTCCTTTTCTTTTACTTTTACCATGGGGTGGAGGGGTGTTCGGGCGTGCATTGACTAAACGAGCCTGGATGCCACCTAACCGACCTAACTAGCCTGAAGAAAAGAACAAGACAAACGAAAAAGCAAGGAAAGAAAGGAAAGGTGCAGGGGGTGCAGGGGGTGGGGCAGGGCGTTCGTTGACTAAACCAGCCTGGATCACACCTAACTAGCCTGAAGGAAGGAACAAGACAAACGAAAAGGCAAGGAAAAACAAGAAAAGGTGCAGGGGGTGTGGGGTGGGGTAAATGCTCTTACGAGCGAACGGCGCGGGCCCGGAGGCACTGGCCGAGAAGCCGAAATCGGCGCATATAAATTGCTATGAAAAATTGGGGGTTGGGAAGGTTTCACTGATACGGGTTGAGACTCTGCAGTATATTTCAGTAAGAGCTTTCAGTGAACTCTGCAGTACAATTCACGTGTACAAGGTGAGACACTCCAATCAAGCTGATTTCGAGCAGGAAAATTCAGTCGAGTAAACTTCAGAAAAACTTCAGGGAAATTACTCCTGCGATGAGGAGTGAGAAGGTTCTTGCAGTAACGGCGCCCCGTAGGGATCACACAGCTTACCACGGTGGGAAGAAGCTGCGAAGACACACTTGAGAAGGTTGCTCCGCGGAGCGTGATTTCAATCTGTTCGCGGGGATCATTAGCCCTTTAGGTGAATACGTAGCACTTGACTTGACTCAACTGTATGAAGTGAAGAGTCCGCTCACTTGAATGTTTCAACAAGATGCATTAGCTCTTTAACGTATATTAAAAATTTAAACCGCCGTCTTCATTGGGCAGTGGATGGAGTGAGATTCACTGCCCCCCTGCAGAGTTGCTGTACAGCACTTCACTTGAGCGAGCATGAGTAGCTAGAATAGTGCCCTTGGAATCAGTGGTTAACACACACAGAAAGCCGAAACCGGCGCAGCTAGTATAGATGCAGCGCTGCAGCACAATGTTCTTTGGGATGTCCTTGCATTTGACCGCTTCTTTTTTGCTTTCCTTTTCCTTTTCTTTTACTTTTACCATGGGGTGGAGGGGTGTTCGGGCGTGCATTGACTAAAAGAGCCTGGATGCCACCTAACTAGCCTGAAGAAAAGAACAAGACAAACGAAAAAGCAAGGAAAGAAAGGAAAGGTGCAGGGGGTGCAGGGGGTGGGGCAGGGCGTGCGTTGACTAAACGAGCCTGGATCACACCTAACCAGCCTGAAGGAGGGAACAAGACAAACGAAAAGGCAAGGAAAAACAAGAAAAGGTGCAGGGGGTGTGGGGTGGGGTAAATGCTCTTACGAGCGAACGGCGCGGGCCCGGAGGCACTGGCTGAGAAGCCGAAATCGGCGCATATAAATTGCTATGAACAATTGGGGGTTCGGAAGATTTCACTGATACAGTTCAGACTCTGCAGCATATTTCAGTAAGAGCTTTCAGTGAACTCTGCAGTACAATTCACGTGTACAAGGTGAGACACTCCAATCAAGCTGATTTCGAGCAGGAAAATTCAGTCGAGTAAACTTCAGAAAAACTTCAGGGAAATTACTCCTGCAATGAGGAGTGAGAAGGTTCTTGCAGTAACGGCGCCCCGTAGGGATCACACAGCTTACCACGGTGGGAAGAAGCTGCGAAGACACACTTGAGAAGGTTGCTCCGCGGAGCGTGATTTCAAGCTGTTCGCGGGGATCATTAGCCCTTTAGGTGAATACGTAGCACTTGACTTGACTCAACTGTATGAAGTGAAGAGTCCGCTCACTTGAATGTTTCAACAAGATGCATTAGCTCTTTAACGTATATATTTAAAATTTGCAGGTACACAAGAAGGCGTCCCTTCTCGCTTCACAATCTCAAACCACCGTCTTCATTGGGCAGTGGATGGAATGAGATTCACTGCCCCCCTGCAGAGTTGCTGTACAGCACTTCACTTGAGCGATTGGAAACAGGGGTTAACACACACAGAAAGCCGAAACCCGCCCGAACGATCCAAAACATCCACTAGCGACTGGTCGCGCACCTCGGAGAGGTGTGAAGATTGCTCGCCCTGGGCGTGGGACAAGTTCCATTCATGATTCCAGGACATGTGACGCTGAACCTTCCTATTTCAACAACAATCAAATACAATCAAATACTCAAAGCAGGTAGACATTTCGCACCATAAGTGACACTCCACTCTTCCAACTGCTCACGACATATGCGGTGTCAAACACGAAGTCGGAAATTCAATGTTCAAGTCAATCGAGCTAGCCACAGACTGGTTTTTGCTCATGGCCGTCTCCTGCAAATTCATTGGCAAGTGTTGACAAGACTAGACCTTCCACCATTTCCATGAGTTGATACTTGATGCTGACTGCAATGACTGTACTTCGTAGCGGGCGAAGCACACCGTTGTGCATTGTCCTGTGCGACCTTCAGCTTGTCTCGTGCAGCCTGCAAGGAGACAAGCAACCACAATGCTCAAAGAGACTTCAGCACTGGTGATGCGTCCATGCTTCCTACGATGACTCCCGATCGACAGAACCAGTTTCCAAAACTATGTTAAGAAACATAGAAGTGTTCTTCTATCTCTCTCTCTATCTCTCTCTCTCTCTCTCGGGGTCACTGAGACTGGCTGAGATGAAGGAAAGCATCGACACTCGGTTCCGCCCAGCCTTTTCAGCCTTGAACTGCGCGTCCTCATTCGTCGCCCATTGGATGTGCTTATTGTTTGCTATGAACTCTAGACTCTAGGACCACTGAGGCATGTTCCGCAAAAAACAACTGGCCGCACCTGCTGTTCCGCATCTTCTATGGTACCACCCGGTGGCGGCTGACCTCTCACCTGCCCAGGGTGACTGTAGAGGCATGCCTCAGAGATATGAGGCATAGCCAAACTGCTGGAATCATAATAAAAAGTATTTGCATCTGCATCGTTTGCTCCAGGTGTCAGAATACATGTTTTAGATTGGCTATATCTAATTTGGCTATATATATATGATTGATTGGACAACTGCAACACCATGTGGATATTAATTGCATTTCAAGTGCCGGAGTGGTGCAGCGCCTGAGCCAAAGACTAGACTGGGAAGGTGTCGGAGTGAATGCTGAACCGACTGAACCGGCAAAACAAGAAGTGCTGAGGCCACAGCTCGGCTAGCATACACTTCGTGGCAAAGTAATCATCAAGCCATCCTGAGCTGCTCTTGTGAACGTGTTTGCTCATATTTGTGGGGCTTTGTTTGCTGTATTTGCCAAACCTCAAAACACGAATTGTGCGACTAGTGACTAGCTATATATTCCTTATCAAAATACACACCAATACAAATAGAATGCGTAGAATGGTTCCTATGAAAACCAATGTTCCGTTCAGCCACTACGAGTGTGACGGAACATTGACATGTACAGTACAAGTTCTCAAGGCTACAGGTTCTCGTCGTTTCTCTGCAACCACGCTTCGCTGCTTCTCAGCCTCATCAGAAGGATGAAAGTTGGTGCACTTGGAGTAGAGCTTGCCTTGGGGCAGCGAAAAAGACGCGAAGTCCAATGATTGGGTTGCTGATTCTCTGACGCCTGCTGGAAAATATTCAGACAAACTGATAAACATACCCTTCTGCTCTCTGACAAACCAGTGGGTCTGATGTCTTTGGAGAGTGAACCTATCGCACCGCAAGTTGTGCGAGTGATGCATGGCACTTCAAACACCAAGGCACAGTGTCCCTGCAAGAAGAAGACCTGGCGAACCCATGGTGCATCATTCATGGGCTAGCGGCTAGCGGCTCATCTTTTGAGACGGTATGAGGCTCTGTCTGCCTAGTTTAATTACAGCCAATAATTAGTCGAACATAGCTGCTTTACCTGGCTTCAGCTACAAAAATGCAAAGTAACAACACTTATATATATATCAGCTACTAGGAACAACTGCCTTACTAGTAGTAACAAGAAGCTATTAGAAACAAGAAGCACATATATTCTTTTGAAGTTTGACCTGTGATTTCTTGAGTGCCGGTAACAAGCCACAACTGCGACCGAAGGACAGGATCGCCATGCGGGTCTGCAGTGATCGGTATACCGGGCCCCCTAGTGATACAATTGCCGTCAAGTGACACAAGCTCTATCTCTTGAGGCATGCAGCGTCTTGATGGCATTCGCACGTGCCAGGGCGGCCCTGGCGACAGCGACCCAAGTGGCGAGTTCACCACTTGGCACTCCACGGCGAGGTTTGTGGCAAAACATGGCAAAACCATCTGACGGCGCGAAGCTGAAGCTCTGAAGAGTTCTACAACATCTTCTCGACGAGGAAGCACAAGACATGTAATTTGGGATCTTGGGATCTCGTTTTAAATGATTTGCCAACTTTGTCCGCAGCAGATGCCATGCATCTGCCTGCCTCTTGGCAGCCTCTGCCAATACGTCAGCGGTAAGAATGCCACTGCCTGAAGAGAAAACAGTAAAACGCAACTTGAAAATCCAAACAAATGTAACTCAATTTATTGAACTATCGCCAATCTATGTTGTGAACTTTTTGGTGTTCATGGTGTGGCAACCCGGTAGGGAGGGCCTTCATTCTTTGTGTCGCCCTGTGTCGCACCTCAGCTAGCAGAGTCGATGAATCCCACAAAAAACAAGGGCACCATGAAGCAAGGCAAAAATGTTCACAGACTCATAGGTTTTTTTTCCACAACTAACAGCAACATGCCCTGCAAATTCAAGAAAGTAAACCACCATGCAGGAACGCTGTCAAAATCCCCTGTGATACCCTAGGCTGACGAAGGCACCCAATTTGCCATCATTACTGGCATCAGTTTCGCCTAGCTTGCCTGGCGTGGCGGGCGCAAATAACGAGCTCAGCTCAAGTCATGTACAAGGGGTCACGAACATCAAGAATAAGACTCACAGTCTTTCTTGCCAATTTCTACTCACCATGTCGGAAGTGGTTACTTTGGATGCTTTCTGACAAGGAATCAAAAGGTCTCCGATTCCATGTTGTCATGGACATCCAAGGCCCCACGATGACCAACCGCTTTCTGTCCAAGGCACCACGGCCGTCATCGCCTCGACCAGGGCTCCGGCCCTCTCTGCCATCGCGGCTGCGGCTGCGTCGAGGGCTGGGCCGACGGAGCGGGCTACGCCTTGGAGGTCCGGTGCGAAAGGGTTCGAAGCAAAAGAGTCCGGTGCATATGATTTGAGGTATATAGATTCTCAGATGTAGATCAGATGTAGCAGCAGCAGCAGGAGGGAGGAGGAGGAAGGAGGAGTAGGAGGAGTAGTAGTAGTCGCAAACAAACCAATCAAGGGAAATGAGCATCCAAACTCGCTTTTTGTGTCTAACATAGAGTTCATACAAGGCCCCTCCTTCACGGTTGATTCGTCAATAGCAACAGGAACAAGTTATGTAAGTATTGTGGAACAATTTGCTGACTTGAACAACTTCCAGAGGGCGTCCAATGTAAAGATGATGTGAGAAGAATTGTGAAGCCATATTATTGATTTGCAACGCCCAGGTGCCGAGGTGGCGTTCGCCTAGGGCTCCGCCTGACTGGGCTGCGCCGAGGCGGGCTGCGGCGACGTGAATTTCCACGAGGCGGGCTGCGGCGAGGCGGGCTGCGGCGCGGAGGGCTTCGTCTGCTGTTGCTGCGACGCCGAGGCGGGCTGCGCCGCGGCGGGCTGCGCCGCGGCGGGCTGCGCCGCGGAGGGCTGCGCCGCGGAGGGCTGCGTCGGCGGCTTGTACTCCGGCGCCGTGGTGGGCTTCGTCGCGCGCTGCGCCGTGGGCTAGCGCGTGGTGGGCTAGCGCGGCGTGCGCTGCGGCTTCTACTCCGCCTAAGCTGGATGGTGGTGGACGCCCCTAACTCCCCGGATTTTGCTGATTTGGATGCCTATAAGGCCTAAGGCGCCGCGACATCTGCACAAACAAACTGCCATTCCTTTCTTTGCTTTCTATGTCTCCGTGGTCCCTCTCTCTCTCTCTCTCGATTTATGTGGTGTCAGTGTCGTGTCTGCCATCTGCCTGCTTTACTATGCTGGCACTAAGCCTAGAATACAACAGCAAAACAAACCATGGCGACCCTGCAGCCCGTGTATTTGCAGCATTGCGCAGCATGATTCATGTATATAGTAATATAGTGGCATGCAATGGCGGGGGTCGGGGGAGAGCAGAAAAACACAGAAACACCATGCTCATGGCCATAGTCTTGAACTAGCATGCTCATGGCCAAACACTCTCCACCACCATTAGCCATGAGGCCTGGCAGAGGCTGATCGGCGGCAGCCCATGTAAGAAAAGGACACTAGGTCCGCTGCTCACGTGCTGAGTGTCTATCTGAGTTCCAGTTGAGGTGCTTGCACTGTGCTTCCAAACGTTGCCGTAAACATTCTACCTCAATGGGCTACTGATGCTGTAAACATTCTTGCCGTGACTATGCAAGTACAGTTGCGTGAAGGCATGAGGAAGCAGCTCAAGTGGGCAAACAAGTGGCATAGTCTAGGACACACACAATAGTATTGCATTGCAGCGGTATCTTACAACAACTGAGCCCAAGCAGTGCCTGCGGGATTGACATGTTAACATATCATAGCATATGAGTTGCAAACGAATCGGACCAACGGGACAATTGAAAGCCCTTGGACCTTGGATGTATTACATTATTATATATTTCTACACCTGTCTAAACTCTAAATGTCCAGAACACAATTGGAGCGGGGAGCCTACTAGCAAGCATGCTCGGCACAAAGCAATGCACAACCACTCAAAAGTTGCTCCTGAACATCTCTTACACAATATAAGGCTGTAGTAGAGCAGCTACAGTATAGCGACGGCCACGCCTTGGGTCCGCCAAACACCACCGGGGTCCGAAATGATTGGCTCATGAAGTTGGAACCGGTTCAGAAATGCAACAAGGAAAGGAACAGAAGGAACGGCAACGCTGCTCCAATGGAAGCAACAGGAAATCGGTTGTCACAGCATCCCCCTTCAAGGCCTTGGGCCTCACACCTAGACCTTTCAATTCGTTTGGCACACCTGGTTCAGGGTACACATGGAACTCCAAAATCCAAACCGCTGGAAGCAAGCTCTCTAAAAGCCAGGCACATGATGCCCCGTCCAAAGGATGGCACCCCACCTTACAACCTACTAAAGCCTTAAAGAAAGGGAACGCTAGGTTCCAGTCGAATCATGTCGAATCCTCATGCTGCCATGCATGATTTGCAAAATCATGGTACAGCTAAGTAGCTGTCTCAAGAATGGCGGTGTGTTTGTGTGTCGCCGTGTGGAGGTAACTACCCTCCGAAGCCTTGCAACAGGCACCCCAACAGAAAAATCATTCCCTAGTGGTTTGCTATGGCATGCTAAGTCAACCCTGTACATGAAACAGCCATTGCCTCGTCCCTTTTTCGCCACCCGGTCAGCATTTGCAGATGCGCGCGGTCGTGTAGTGAGCTCAACTCCTGAGGCGCGAAGTGGCCGTGTACCGTGTGCCATTTGTGTTCTGCTGAGCGATCGAACTACAAGCACTCTACAGTACTACAAGCTACCCAAAATAGTTGAAGCAGTTAAAGGGGACACGAGACCATAAGCTGTGCAGTTAACAAGATTCAACAAGCTTGGCGGCATGCCAAAAGCTGATTCAATGTGACTTGTGGGGTTCAAAGGGCCCACTCCAGCATATCCAAAGCGTTCTGAAGATCTTCAGGAAGAGGACAAACTGCGGCAAGTGGACCCCCGACCTCAAACATCTCAGTTCCCAGTGTCGATGCGGATGATTTTTCTGCTCTGCAACTGGGTTTTTTGGCGTTCAGGTCCACTCGAAACGAGTGCAGGAAGCTTCGACGGCACCTGCACTGCAGGAGAGTTGACAGCTGGCAGCAATGCACCATTGGATTCGCCAATGCATTTGATTCGCAAAACACACTGCTCAAACAGCAATTGGGGATAGAGCCAGTTTGGTGCTCGTCCCCCATATTGAGTGTCGCCAACCTCATGTGAAGGAACAATCGCTTCCAACCATTATATATTGATTTGGTCATAGCTGCCCTATTTTGTTTTATAGATATACATATATCAAACTATACATATATATATATATTACATATTACATTAACAGTCTCTATGAGCATAGAGTGGACCGCCGGTTCCAACAAGCAAAGCAAACAACACCTACACAATAGGAGTGCAGTTAGGGTGCCAACAGGAGAAGCAGTTAGGGCGCAATCCCAACCGCTGCTGATCGTGAGTCCCGACTTTGGTGTTGTGGCTTTTGCTACGCAAAACTTCATGTAGAGTCATTATGTATATTGTATATATATATAGTGTGTGTATATATATATATAGGTGTTGATCTAAATTCCTTTATCCGGGATGTGTCATCTTAGCAAAAAAAAACTTTAGCCAAACTTTCGCCTTCCTGTGTTTTATCGTTCGCCGAAGTATGTTGTATTTATGTGTGCCATGTATGTTGTATGATGGATATCAATTTTGGTCACGTCAATGGCTTCTTCTTTACTGGCAAATACAGAATAAAAACTTCACTGCTTGTCAGCATGTGTCTTCTACTTAACTGTTGACACCCTGTATGTCTCTTTTGTTTCTCCTGGGTGTCAGCAAGAATCAAAATGGCAAAACTCACTGTAGCAGCCGGTCACTCAGACTTACTCATAATGGGCTGGGGTCAGATGTGGCAGGGTGAACTTTCGCCAATCTTGAGCTGAACGTTCGCCAAACTTTCGCCTTTTGCGGGGTAGAGTTTTGTGGCAAAGCCACCCCCCCAAAGCGGAGCAGGAATAGTAGTAGTAGTAGTAGTGGTAGTCGTAGTCGTAGTCTTAGTAGTAGTAGTAGTAGTAGTAGTAGTAGAAGTAGTAGTAGTAGTAGTAGTAGTGGTAGTCGTAGTCGTAGTCTTAGTAGTAGTATAGTAGTAGTAGTAGTAGTAGTAGTAGTAGTAGTAGTAGTAGTAGTAGTAGTAGTAGTAGTAGTAGTAGCAACAGCGGCAGAAAGAACATCTTTAGCCATATCTTTCGCCAACAAAAACAATACTTTCGCCAACTCGAGAAAAAGCTTTCGCCAAATGAGATTTTGATATGTTCCGGGCCATCGTCATCAACAATCCTGTCTAGGACCTTTAGATCGAGAACCATATACAATAACAAAAATATAACATATATAGAAGGGATGCAAAGGGCTACGATTACTGCTTTAGGTACTGAACCTACCCCCAGTTTCATTGATCTCGAATCACCATGTTTGTCTCGTGTCCGAACATTGAAGAATTTGGGTCCCCCACCTGGGACAGCTGACCGTGTGCCATTGGCAAAGAAAACCCCACACTGGTGGCCAAAAAAGACTACACCGAAATCCACAGCTAAGCTGTTCGGTTTAGTCGGTCCAAATGGGCCAAGTGCAAATGCAGGATAGGTTGCATGGGGATCTCTTCTCTCTGAGCTCCAAAGGTTTACTGCAAACCAGCTGGTAGACTCCTAGACTCAATCGGGGTGCTGTTTGTGTTGGTCTGTCCTGCTGACAAGTCAGCCCAGCAGCCAAAGGGTGACCATGAAACGCCAAGTGTGCACGGATCCTGGTGCGGCATCGGTGCGGAAGCCGTGCCGTGTTTCAAGCTCTTCCAACTCCAATGGCATGAATGACAAACATCATAGACATCTCACCTCTCTCTCTCTCTGATATGTTTTGAAGCTGAGGCTCCAACTGGTGCTGCCTACCTGTGTGAAGGCGAACCTGCATGGGGTAATATAGAGTTTCAAGCTGTAACACTTCACACCTGGATAGTAACAAATCCCATCAACAACTTGCACATGAACTCGCCCACTCCGAAAACTGCAACTTCCCTGGTTTCTTACGACTGCTTCTCCTTCCCAAGGACTATCACCAACACCTTCAATCTAATGCATCCAAGCGTGGGCTCCTGCTGTTGTAAGCGGCAACATTGGAGTAGAAATGCCGGGCTTATGGCCTCATACAGCCATCTTATATAGTGTATATACCAATGCTGGTATCATGATCTCTGTGATCGACAACATCTTGTCTTTTTCGCCGGGCGGTGAAACTACGGTGCCAAGAGCACCTTTTCTTTCATTTAGATGAAGTCGTCGCCCAGGGGTCTACGGCTCTCACACCACACAGGAATCACTCTGGGCTGTGCTGGATGACTTTCAGTTGATTGTGGCTATTTGTGTCATTACGTGTCTCTTGTTCAACATGCACATCAAGCATCCACACACTGAGCATTCAGCATTCACTGATGCCCTATTAAAGTTACGCTCAGTATGCTAAGTACATGAGTGTAAGTATGCTTGAAAAAAGGAACGGAAGTAATCCCTGCGTAGATATTCCGGGTAGTGACACATCTTGTGTCTGCCCCGCAAAAAGCACACCAAAAGCCGCCCCAGGCTTATCCAGTCACAGCAACTTCCAAATGTTACCACCAAGTTACCTGTTACTGAGACCGTTACTGCTCGCAAAAATGAAGTTGCGAAACACAAAGCAGCCACTCCCGCAGCCGCTGGTGATCGACTCAGGAGGAGGCGGTCGCACCCTTAGGGTCGGCGTGGCGTGGCGTGCCGCGAATGGCACGAACGGTGCTTGGTGCGGAGCAAGGGGCCAACCCTGGAGACCCCATGAAGGAGGATGTGTCTACTACAATTTTGTCCGCGCAGTCGGGCAAGTGAGCTGAGAAATTTCAAAGCCCTTTGGAAAACATTGGTCCTCCGACATGCCATGCTGCGTGGACGACAAGGATGAGGGCGATGGCGATGGTGATGGTATGATGTTGCTGCTGATGACGTTGGCCATGATGAGTTCGATGTGTTTTTTCTTTTTGTTCAATTGCTGAGGGCACGCGGCATGAGTCCAAACGGAGTTCCCATCACAATCCCCGAATATATTATACACGTCGTACATGAAGCCCCAAGAATGGCTGTTGCATGACAAAACAAACTTCACGTCGAAAGATCCACACCATGACTGACATTTCAGTCCACTTCTATTGTCCACATGCTGGTGTGAGAATGAGAAACAGATTGATTGAGTCTATGATGTTGCCTAGCTTGTTCACTATCCGCTGGCGTGGAATGCCACATTACTAGTACAGTTGCCTATGCTCACATATGCTACTTGCCTAACACATGCACATTCTTTCGGTGCGTTGTACATACTTGCTGTGTGATGTTGCCTGTGTCCCAAGCCTGTTTAGAAACAGCTGCTTGTCGGATGTGACCGACATTCTTGCAAGACAGCGCAGTGCTGGCTGTCGGGTGTCTAATCCGGTAAGGGCAAAAGAAGAACAGGTGCGCAGGTCACACGGCAGAAACATTTTCTTTGAGATATATTGTGGCATTCTATGTATTCTATCTTGTATGCTTCTAACATTCTACTTGCCATACTGTCAGGCATATTATTTGTGATTGGGTGCTGTGGGCTGTGGGTGTGGATGTGTCTTTGTGGCTGTGTGTGTTGTGGATCTGTCTTTGTGGTTGTGTCCTGTGGGTGTTTCTTTGTGGTTGTGTGTTGTGGTTGAGGTCCGGCGGGAACACTGCCGTCGGGAGCTGGCGGTTGAGGTCTGGCGCGGAACACTGCCATCCGACACTCGCGGTTGAGGAGGACGACGAGGAGAGGCGAGGACAGGCGAGGAAGAGAGAGGAGAACAGCGAGGCAGCTAACAACAAATCTAACAACCCTCAGGCGGGGAAAAAATGCCTCAAAAACTCAGCAAGCTAAAACCTGAAAGTCTGCATCAAGCGGTGGTAGGCTGCCGCAAAACACCAAAAGTAGAATTTCAAATCCAGCCGATGGTTCGGATTGGGGGATCACACGGGCAGCCCGGACGCAGTCCCCAGCATTGAAAAACAGTCACATTTCAACCATATATACATTGCTTCGACCAGCCTCAGTGGTTGCGCAATCTGTGAATCCCAACCATGTCCCTCCTCTATCACAATATGTCCTGGCCCATCATCCTCCTACAGCGTCCCACCATCCTCCTACAGCCTCCGGGGGGAGGAGGAACCCCCAAAAATTGGGCCAAGGATCTCAAACGGTGCGAGCCTCTGAGGTCGCATACCATTGCACGAAGTGCTCAAAGTCACATGCTTGAGCCTGTCAGGGTCCGACTCGCGATCTCGATCGCGGGTCCGGTAGAAATGGTCTCGTGGTTGGGCTTAAAGGTTTGTGGTCTTTTGTTACTAGTAGTAGTGGCCTCCAATCTATCAGCGATGGCCTCCAACCTAATAGCGATGGCCTCCACCTAGTAGCTTCTTGCTCCTAGACTCCTAGTAGCGATGCCGTTTGTTCCTAGTAGCTTGTGGGCTTTTGAGGGAAGCCCAATCAATTCCGCAGTGTTGCAGCCTTGCAGTGGTGCTCAACAACTGAGTCACCTCATATGTCATGACAAGACCTTCATGTCTTACCGCCCCGCGAGCCTTCCGTGCATGTTCTTCTGGTGCCGGCATTGTCTTGACAGCTTGTTCCCACCTCGATCGAGTTGCCGGCCACTGATTCTAATAAGATCCTGTCTCACTTGTCCTACCAAAAGCGTTTCTGACCATGCTGTCCAGCTCCAAGCCACCAATAGTTGCTGTCGCTTTCAGAGATGGTGCCTCAAATGAGTCAATGTCACACGTCTTGTGCTCAAATGTGGCAAACCCCCAACCTCAAAGCCACCATGGATGTTCCCAGGTCATGACGTCACGATGGACTAAAGCTTAGATGGACTGAAGCAACAGCTTCTTGAGCGGACCACGGGCAAAGCGATGCGAAGCGCACATCACGTTTTGGGAGGAATTCTGCGAAACTCAAGAGCCAAAAGCAAAACGAACAGTACTCTGAGTCGAAGTTAAAAAGCATCGATATCTGGTGCATCACTATCATGTAAAAAGAATGATCAGAAGCTCCCCTCACATACTTCAACAGCGTTGAAGTAGCCGCTGGGCTACAGCTCCAAAATGGCTCCCTTCAATGTGTGTTGTACAAATGTCAGGATTGCCAGCTTAAACCAATCCGAAATCTCCGATGAGTTCAACTCATTTGTGCTACTCATAGCCCCAAATCTCCCGAAACCTTCTTTTCGCACTTTGTCTCCTGTAAACCATGGGCGGACGCTTCGTTGCAGTTGAGGCACGTCCCGGACATAAGGAGCGCAGAAGCCGCTGGAAGCCCTGAAAAGCAAGAGAATCGACGAACAATAGCAACCACACTTGCACCAGTTTGTGTATGTGGCGCGTGCCTGCGTGCGCGCCTTTTTTTTTGTGTGCGTTCTTGGTTGTATAATGCCGTTATAGTTATAGTCACGGACAAATACTTATAACATATTTTGAGAACAAAGGTAATCTGTATATGGCACCTGGAAACAGAGTTCTAAGTACAGCACTTAGACACTAAAGTGCTCACACAAGGGCATGGTTACACCACTGGGGATGTGCTAACGCCAAGAAATGTTCTAAGTAATGGTCCGTGACTAAAGCCATGTCTACTTGCCACAGCTTCTTGACTCACTGCATGTTCTAAGTGAGCGACCTCACAAGGGCATACCGCCAAAAGCAATGTTCTAAGTGTAGGAAGCCGGGTGGTGATGCAGTTTGGCATCCAATGAGATGCATTGTGTTTCAACACACACACAGGCCGATGCAAAAAGGGTCTTGATGATCTGCGGAAAATTGATAGTCTAATGATTCTCAGTGTAGGGGTTTGCCCATGTTCTAAGTGTGGATTCTGGTTTTTGTTGTTGAGTATGGTTTCGGCAAGTTTCTGAAATGTTGCGAAAAATGTTCCAAGTAGTTGTCCGCAACTATACATGCAAAGCCTGCCCCTGGCCAGGAAAAGCCCCATGGGTACAGCCTATCAGCTTTAAAACACCCATGGGCTCACGCTTCGCTCCGTGCGCGGTTGAATGTATGGCGTGTGGAGGGAGAAAGAGGCGCGCACACTGAAATGAAATCAAACTGTTTGACGTTTCTGTAGTTGCTGGCGCAGGACACCATGGGCACATTGTGGAGTGTTATTAGCGCGAGGTACCATGCGAGCCTCGACATTCGTGCGAGGTGTGTGAGCACCCCCACATCCAAGTGTAACCCAAGGACTCAACTCGACATGCCAGTAGCAAATCCCAACGAACACACGAATCCAAATTCAACCGACAAACCAAAGCATAATAATGATTTATCTATGAGGACGCCCCTTTCCAATCTTCACAGTGTTCTAATTGACTTGACACAAACACTAACTACAGTAGTATGTTGTACATTGCCGTTAATTATTCACAATCTTGTTGCAATACCGTGATCGCTGGCCCTTTGGTTTATTTTGACTCTTGACTTTTACCACTGGAATCTCAACTGTCTGGCAGCTCCTTCTTGAGAATGAGCTCATTCTTTTCGGATTGGGCCACAAACTCCTTGCATCTTGGAGCCACTGAAGGGTGACTTTTCTGAAGCTGCCAACCCAACAACCAGGCAAAAACCACGCCTATGCCACAATAGGTTTCCATTCAATTCATGATTGATGCGGTGCAGGCTGTTCCAAGCACATGCGTGCCCCTGAACTTAGAAAGTCCAAGAATCTCGATGCAAAAAGTCAACGGAGTCTTCATCCATCTTGCACTGGTGAGCGATGGCCTTGATTGACTTCCTGGCCTGCAACATTCGCCGCACAAGCCCACACAAAACCACAAGGTGAAAGCAACATGCACGTAATCATGTACACTAAGCAGCATGGTGAAAGCACGGCATAAATTCGGCATAAACCAAATGCACTTGGAAAGGTGCCCTTGGACCCCTCAGACTGATTGCGTTGCACGATGATCCTCGATGTGCTGTGTCCGCGGGAAAAAACCGTCTTCCAATGGTCCTGTTGTTCCCGGCCCCTCCGGGCTCAGCCTGCGCCTGGCTTGGAGCGTCTCCCTCCTGGAACAAAAACATCGATCTGCGTCAAGACCCGAGACCCGCAAACCTCAAACCAAAGCTTCCCCCAGAATCTGTCAGACTTAAAACCCCTCGGAGAGTGCACAGTATAACACCTGCCTCGCTGAGGATTGGGGGATGGCACATGGTCCCAGCATTGGGGGATGGCACATCGTCAATAGATTTGTCAAACCAAACGCATCCACCCAGTTGTCCTATCACAGATTTATACAGATTTTATATATAATATATAATGTTCTATATATATAATATAGAATGTTCTATATATATAGTTATAATGTATATAATTATATCATTATGATTCATGATGTTATATGATTATGATACTGATTATGATGTTGCTTGACTTTAGTGTTGCTACATTGTGCAGGCCTTCTCTTTGGCAGAAGAGCCACCGCCACCCAAGGAGAGACCGACCGCAGCTGCCATACTCTTCCGATCGTCTTGTATTTGCTGTCGCATCACAGGCTCCTTGGAACATGCTGTAGAAATACCAACTCTCTACACTCACAAATCAGCTGTATCATGCAAGCACCGCTGTATACCGTCCAGCTTCATGACTAAAAAGGGGCTATAGTGACTACATTATGATGTAGTATCTATGCTTCATGGAACTGAGCTGCCATAGTGAGCGACCACAACTTCTGTCTCGAGTCATGCAGCTGTCGCCTCTGCTCGCGCATGTCCTTGGAAGCGGATCTTGGGCATTGGCATCAACGACAAACTAAAAGGCCTCCACCTAGTAGCTTCTTGTTACTGGTAGCTTCTTGCTCCTAGTAGCGATGGCCTCCAACCTTCTTGCGATGGCCTCCACCTAGTGGCTTCTTGTTATTAGCAAATCAAGTCGGACTCACTGCGCCTTATGGGCTCTTGAGCTGAGTGCTTGCTGACCAAGTGGCGTAAACCACTTTTTGGATATTTCGTACTGGATCGTTCACCTGCACAGCTGTTGACGCAAGCGGCACATCATACTCAACGATATCCACTGTGACATACCCGAGAAGCAAACCAACTAGCTGAGTTGAAAGGGGTCGTGACATCCGAATCCTTGTATAGTGATCCCCAAATAGATGGAAAACAAGGTACGAAACGGTTTCCAATAGATTTTTGTGGGGATCTACTTCTCTCTCGGTTTGGGACTATACTTTTTTGCGGATCCTCATGGCACCCCGGACCAGTGCTCCTCGTCATTGTAGTTCTTCTTGCACAGCTTTACTTCTGCAGAGCCTCAACACCACCAAAGGCTCATGGCAAAGCTAAATATCGGTTGAAGGATATTCAAGGTGCACTTTCGCCACATCAAACCACCAATGAGGAGGCCAAATGGTGTTGTTCTGGACAAGTTTGGGCACTGATGGGGGAACAAAACACCTGAAATATAAAATATCAAATAGTTGAAAGCTCCTTCTATCTCCTCAATCCAGGTGCTGAAGGTGTGAACATCTTCCAGGTCTTTGGGCCCAGTGCCACGTGGCAGGTGTGCGGCCACAATCTCACGACAACGCGCATCACCTGGGATTCAAGTTTTGGGCCTCGACAACTGGGCCCATTTGCGTCTTGAACAGGCCAAGCTATGTGACATGTGGTGACTCCACGCTTAGGTCATCTTGGGTCTAGCAGTTAGCACGAATCTGCTGTTTCTCCGCGGCTCTTGCCAGGGGGCTCTTGCCACGGTTCTTCAATCTGTGGATTGTTGATGCCATCCACTTCCGCAGCTCACTCGCATTATCGTGTTTTTCCTCGGTGCGAAGATGGCACGATAACGGCAAAGCAGCTCCCGAGCCGCTTGGCAGCGTGGCAGTGGCAACCGGTGTTGGAGACAAATCCAAGTGCATAGGTATAGCATATATATATAATATGCATATATACTCACAGTGTTTCTGCCGCAGCCAATGGCCAAGTATCAGATGTGCTGAAGAGCAACTGCAACTCAGCCTGCAGCGAACTGGATGTCGTTTGCTCTGATTCCAAGTGTCTCACAATCTGTTGAGCGGGTGAAGGCCACGGCGATTGCACCCGACCCTTCTTCCCAAGCGAGGCGGACCCTGGCAGCCCTGGCGTGGCCTCTGGTGTGGTCGGCTGCCATTTGCATTCACGGGGCTTCTCCAAATCACCTCAGGGTTCTGAGGCCCTCCACAGGGCTAAAACGGGCTGGCCATCAATTACCTCCTACAAAACCTTCGAAACCAAGCAATCTCACGGCCAGTACTTGACTTGCAGCCACAGCGGCGGTTTTTCATCACCCATCGCTTCCAGAACTCTGGCGTGCTTACCCTCTCTGGCTCCTGAAGTAGGTGGACAATGAACGAAAAGTACCTGCACCTGTCAGCGTTGGATGTATGCATACATATCCACATGCATGCATGAATATTTCCTCAGCACCCCCGACAATCCGGAAATGGTGGAGAAACTCCAGTCACACATCCAGAAAACACAAACACAAACAACAAAACGCAGGTATCGACGAAAAAACAACTCTTGCGATGCTGCAATAGAGGCAAACACTAACGAGGGTTAAAACACAAGCAAAGAATGATCAAACAATATATTTGCAGTAGCATGTGCAATGGCAACGTCAACAAAGTAGGAACGGGAGAAACAAATAAACAATTGCAAAAAACACGATACTACGAAAAGTAGTTGTAGCGTTTGTGGCGACAATAGCATTAGCAGCAGCAGTCGTAGCAGTAGAAGTAGTGGTAGTTCACGCAAGTAATTAGGTACACATTCTCTTGGCAAAAGGCAAGAAAGAAGCTTTTCACGTGGCAAACGGTGGGCCCTATAATCATCAACCCGCTGCCGTTGCTTCAGCAAGGAGGCAAGATACAAGCACTAGACACCCAATATAGCCCAATCATATATCAAATATATCATCCAACTCTGTGGTCATAGCAAACGTATATAGTTTGTCACAAAAATACAACTGTTGTTGCGCTGGAGGGGGGGGAGTGCGCAGTGCCTCCCCCCTTGGCTTTCTGGGTGCGTCCAGGTATTAAAATCGGATCCTAGCACCATGCAAAGCAAAGTGCAACATTTCCATGTAGAGCCTTTCAGTCCGTTCATTGTCATATATTGTCTTGTCTCTCTTTCTTTCGTTTCTTTCGTCTTTCTTCTTTCTTGCTTTCTACGAAGTGGAGGATTCTCCGTGTGACCAGCAGAGGGTCGTGACTTGCTTTTCCATGGGGCTATCTCTCTCTCTCTCTCTCTCTCTCCAGCACGCTGTGTTGTTCTGTGTTGGTGCCTATTATATCTTTAGAATCTAAATAGCACGACGGTTTTGGACTAGAAATAAACAAACATATATATATATATATGATCGATCTGGCTCCTGCTCTTCCATCTCTGGGAACAGCTCATTGAAAACTATAACACCATCTTTGTCCTGGACAAGTTGCCAGCATAGGCTCCAAGAGCCATTTGGGTTTTGGTTCATTGTCAGAATCAACACATGCAAAGTTCCGTCCGCAAAAGCGAAATCAAAACACCTTAGGCAACTGAATCCTGAAGCCATTGTGGCCGTGCAAGAAGCGTATTCACAATCTCTCTCATGTGAATGGCGGGGGCAGTCCAAATCAAAGATTTTGAAGAGCTCACGGGTGCGAGTCATTCCAGTCATTTCTTGCCAATTGATGCCAATCCTGCGCAGATGTTGAAACCATACCCGGCTCCGCCCTTTTGGATGGCCGATGACGAGGACATGGCTGTCGGTCGAAACACATGGCTGTTGGTCGAAAGGGGACCCTGGTTGACCACGGAAAATGATCAGAGTGGACTAGTGGATCTAGTGAATCTAGTAGGGAGGTCAACCTACCAGGGATTGGGGGTCTGGGTTTTGACCCACAGCCACATACTAGAAGTCTTTTCTGCACAGAAGCGGCAATCAAAGCTCCAGCCTTGCGACTCCATCAGCAAACTCTTGCAAGCCTTAGATGCTGGCAGTGCCTACACCAAACAACGAAGCGGCCTATGTGGGCTAGACCACCTTTGGACCAGCGCCTGCACAGCGGACCCAATGTAGAGTGTCCGCATTGCACATGCTTTGATGAGTTGCTTCAGCAACCTTCAGAATCACTCTTCACCATGATGGTATAGCAGCACGCATCCCTAGCTTGCACAGGCATGCTGCTCATGAATGGAACATGAGGGTCCCTGACTAAAATGGACATGATATTGCAATGAGGGGTATGCCACCCGTGAGTAAGGAAAACAAAGCCTACAGGATGAGTGCATGTGCAATGATGACATGAGGCTGGAAGGGGAACTCATTTGATGTGTGGAAGCCTTAAACCCTGAAACAAGAACCGCCTCAAGCAAAACGCTTTCACTGGGCGAGGGCAGCCAACTTGCAATTGGCACCAAAAGTGCATTGTGAGTTTTTAAGTCTGAACCATGTCTGAATCATTATGTAAATAGACTTGATCGCTCTTAGGTTGGACCCCATCGCTAGTAGGTTGGAGGCCGTTACAATTAGGTTCCCTTGGCTATTAGAGCACAATATTGTATTAATTTCTAGTTTCAGCATTCTGGACTGGGTCTCTGTTGCACTTGATGTGTGAAGCACAGAAATCATGTCACCCGCAGGGCATGAGAATTCCATGCAGTTTGGTGACTGATTTTTCCGCTGCCGTTGAGGTCTAGCCTCTTAAAGGCTTTCTTGGCGCGTGTGGCACGATCATCCTCCATATCTCCAGACTTCTCCTGAAACCAGTTGACGGATGTTGACGGGAGGAAAATAGGAAGATGCTACCCGAAAACAAGAACAATCGCGAAATGCCACTGCCCTGCAAGGATTGCACGGCCAAGGCTGGCTTTGCAACAAGACTTCCAGCCTCTAGTGGATCCTGGAACATCCAAATACCCCAGGGGAACATCCAGAAGAAACGACCCCCATTCACCTGTTAGAGTCTTCCGCAACCGAAGAGGCGATGGCCAAGCCCAAGAGTTATGTTGGGCGATGGCAGCCATACATGGCCAACCATCAAATAATATTTTGTGAAAAAAACGTGAAAAAAAGCAAAATAAAAGCAAATGAAAATGCAAAAACAAAGCAAAAACAAAGCAAAAAGCAAAAACAAAGCAAAACAAAAAGCGAAAAAAAAGCGAAAAAAAAAGTGAAAAAACAAGCGACAAATATGTTTTTGCTGTACCCTCCTAGGAAAAAAGCGAAAAAAAGCGAAAAAAAAGCGAAAATAAAGCGAAAAAAATGCGAAAATAAAGCGAAAAAAAAGTGAAAAAAAAGCGACAAATACGCACAGCTACATTTTTTTGCTTTTTTGTTTGCTTTGCCTTTTGCTTTTTTTTTTGCTTTGTTTTTGCTTTATAAAACTATTTTGGCTCCTTGTATCTATGGCTGGCGTGCCCGACATAACCCAAGAGCGTGTGGCATGTGTCCATCTCTCCTCCAAAAACATGTTTGTTCATCTCTCATATGAGTCCCAAAACATGAAGGGATCATTTGTCCATCTCTCATATGAGATCCCTTTGTTCATTACTCTTCCAAAATAGCACAAAGGGATCTCATATGATCCCATGCACCGACGAGCGTAGAAGATGAGGCAACTGAGGTTCGATGAGCATGTTCCGAATCGTCTTCCTATACCTCAAACGGGCAGCGCCGATGCCAAGAGGCATCCTTTTCTGGATGATCACATGCACTAAAGCAGCATACGGCAAAACTCGACAATCGGCGTGCCAGCTGGCAGGAATGATATTGAAACTTGCTATGTATGCCAAACTCCCAACACATCAATTATATATCATCAATTGGCATAGCCTCACATCTTGCAACTCAAGCTCTTTCCAACAGAACCTTATCCTACAGCACCTATTGCCGCCAAGTCCTCCATCAGCTGGCTGCTAATGGCCCTACAAACTGCTGCAAACCCTTCTTCTTATGATGCAAAACCGGGCGGCTCGTCATGATTCTGTGCAATCCTTAGCTCAGCATTGGAATCCTCTCAGCGGTGAGGGGGCGCCCATGCAGCCATCCAAGATGCAATGCATCTCACCCCCCTCGTGACTGCACCCTCCACACTGAGCCGATGCACCAAAATTGGGTGACGCTTTACACATGCCACACAGAACCCACCGAAACCGCTTCGGTGAACCGAAACGCGCTCCTCCGATCATCGATCCGAAGCTTTTTTCACCAAGCCACTCCTCAGCACTCAGCTGCGGTCGCCGCCAGCTATACCTTGGGCTTCTTCTTGAGGAGTCAGCCTGCAGGGGACTGTGACGTTCAATTGGCAGCCGGCGACCCACCAAATAAGAAGGAACATGTTCTGTGGCATCTGCGGGTTCAAATTCCACTTTGTGGTCTCACAGCATGGTCAAAGGGGTCTCGGAAGTGCCAAATGGACATCAAATCGCAGTAAAGGGGATGATGATTTCTGTGGCTGTGGAGGTGCCCCAGCTGCGGACTGCATTCATCTCAGGGAAATGGGAAGCACGGAAGGTAGTAGAAACCATTTGGGTCTTGAGCAATGTCCAAGATCAAACCTCTGGTCAGCTCCAAAAAAGGGAGAAAATCATGTGAATGTTCACTATTCATGCAACACCAAGCCCAAGTCTGGATATGTCTTCTCACTAGAGTGTGATAGAAACATCCTTATACATATCTCTGCAAGATCCAACAGTTTCCCAAAAGTTCTCAGTCAACATATCTCTGGAAAAGCCAAAAACAAAAATAAAGGAAGCAAATGAAAGAAGTCTGCGTCTACCAGCCCGAGTCTTGATGTAGCTGGGCCGCATCGATGCTTCCAGGTGGACGTGCCAACTTGCCCCGAGAGACAGGGTCATGGGGTGCATGACGGGATATAATGCTCATGTCGTATATATTGATTCAGCTTGATTCAAAACGATTCAACTTCAACAAATTCTACCAACCAGCTCACATTCTGCAGGTCTCATTGGTGCTTCACGGCCTGAGATCGTCCGGCACTGGTGATCTGAGATCGCCTCAAAGGCCAAACGCCAACAACACTCAACTGCGCTGGAGACTTTGCACAACTCAGACCTCCTCAGCCAAGACGCTGCATCCTTTTGTGTCTTTCCTTCTCTCGCCTTTGATCTGCTGCATCGAAGTAGTCTTTCAGTGTCATGTGGGAGTCCTCGGCCACCTGCCACACAACGCCACACCCGCCTCTGCTAGAGTGCCCGGTCCTGATTACATACAGTATAAGTCTATATAATATATATTTATATAATTATATATACTTGTTTGTGAAAATGGCTCTTCTCCTTGCACCGGCACATGCTTGCACACAGCTACTGCAGGACGGTAGCACGTCGGATGTGACCGCCTCTGGCTCATCATCTTCCAGGGTCGTGTCCAGTTTTTCTCGACCGAGCTGTGTCTCTGGAGCTGTCTGGGATCTTCCTAAGTACCGCATCCACGGTGCAAGCTGGCTGCACACGCTGTCACATGTAGAGCAACAAATGAAGTCTTCAAAGTGACCATCCTCGTGTCCTGGGGACTTCTCAAAAAGCGTCCAACACCGAGAGCGTCCAACTTCTCTCGGTGTTTGCCCATTTTCAGCGCCTAGGCTCCCACGGAGGCTTCTTCTGGTGGGGTTGATCTGGCTTGCCTGAACTGAACAGTGTCTCCATCAAAAAGAGTGCTACGGTTGATGGACACAATCCTGCACCATCAACCGTGTCCGTATATAACCCTTGTGAAGTGTACTGGTCCGGTGGTGCAGGATTTCGTCCATCAACAGTACCAAGCACAGAGACAAAACAGCAACACCAAATACAGCACCTGATTTGTGATGGCACTTTGCAAACAAAGGAACAAAACAGCAATGCACGCGATGACGGTAGTAGACTGACACGTGCATGTGGTAATTGTTCACATGCGAATACATGTTGTGCAAATCTGTATGCACATTTACGTCCACGGGCTCGTATGTATGGCTAGTCCATTTGCTCAGAAATAGTCCTTGGCTTGTTGGGCTTTAACAGTCTCAGGGACGGACTTCTTAAATAGATCGCCAACCAGTAGTGAACCGTGGCTCCTGCTGAATGAGTTGTATCACTAACCGAGCCTGGCTTCTTCAGGATCCTGTGTCGTGACAGGAGGCCCAGGAGTTTCTTCCTTCTTGGGCAGGTGCATCTGTGCCTAACCAGAACGGACGGGTTCATATCCTTTCCCAGCAGGTCAATCACCGAATTCTCTCATGAACTCAGTATCCCATACCCGAATGTAATCTGCTTTGAGTGATGAGACCGACGAACCATCCAGTGAATGGATGAAAACATGCTGAGTCACTGGCAATTATAGACCACTAGAAATAAATCAAAATAATCAAAATCATCAGGAAATTACATGTTTGTAAGCAAGCATTCGCTATGCGGCTACCACCCGCCGAGGTTTCCTACCGAAGTCTCCTATCTCCTGGTCTCCTATGTGGTCTGATGTCGATTTGGCATTTCACAAGCAAACTGCGTTTGACTAGTCTTGCTCACATCTGAAAAGCCACCCACACCAAAACGACCAAACAAAGTAGTGCTTCAACAGCACAAGTCTATGCAATTATTGTGGAAAACAAAAAATGGAAGAAAGAGCGCGACTCTACTCTCCCACCTTCCGCAACTGGAGTTCTTCCTTCAAAGCTTGGATTTGATCTTCAACGTGCGCCTTCCAAGGGCGGTCGTTAAACACTCGCCCCCCGCCGGTCTCGGAACCTGCTTCCAACAGGACACCCTTGCAACCACAGTAGTATATAAGTTACATTCAAGTTAAGTGAATGGATATTCAATCTAAGTGAATGGAAAGGGTTACTCTCCAATTGTGGTAGGGTTCAAAAAGGCTGGGAAGCCTCCAGGCTGGGAAGCCTTAGGGTTGCAAAGGCTGGGAAGCCTCCGCAGCCATTTCAAGGGGCGCCGGGCGGCGTGGGTGGGGCGGCGTCGGTGGGTCGGTGCCGGTGGGCTCATGGTCGGGGTCCCCAGGTTCATGCATCCATGATCTTGCAGCTCAATTTGCCTGGCATGGTTCACATTCATGTTGCCTCGGCCATTTAGCCTTTTGCCTCGGACGGTCGACCTTCCACACGTGGTTTCGGAAGATTGAGGAGCCACGCATCAGTCAACGTTTATGTTGAATAGTTTTGCATCTCACGGTACTTTTTCATTTGTGCCAGAGTGCTTTTTGGTGTTTAGTGATGTTTAGTGACTTGCAGCAGTCAGAGATATTGCAGGAGCAACAATGGATTCAACCGCCGATTCCACGACATCGACAGCGGGAAGCTCTGGAGGCGGTCGGGTTCATTGCACATGATCAACGATCAAAGCAGTGGCAGTCTCGTCACGCAAAATAGATTTAGCTCAGATCCAATTTTATCAGATTCATTGATTGGATGCATTTCTGACCAGATGAAATTCGATCTCCACGGACACCGCCACTGCCACGGCCGGCACCTGTGACCCCGCCAGAGCTGCTGCTTCGTTCCTTGACATCATCTTAAACCTTGAAGAACTTGCTTTCATATGCTTTCATGACAGCTTCGCAAGGAGGGTATTTTGAATCATGACATTTTCAATGTCACCATCACTTTTGAAATAATACTTTCATCTCAGGCGCGGAAGAAGAGGAGCGAGCGCGCGCTGACATGGTGCATGTGTCGCTGAGTGCGCCAAAGAAGCGGAGGGTCGTTGTGACGTTCGAGGTCACACCAGAGACCACAACCGCAGATGAGGATTAATTGGTGATGGTAGTAGGTAGGAAGTGAAATGCAATGCAGGAGCAATTGAAATCTAGCCTAATCACAAATTAGAAGTCGAAATAACTAGCAAAGAGCTGTTGAGTCTGAGTCTGTGGTTGAGGCCTCTGTTTCTCCATGTTGCCGTGAGTTTTGCTCTCATGGTCTGGGAAGACCGGCGCCAAATTTTACGCCTTGCCGGGAAGGCACTTACTTCATTTTAATAGAGATGATGATGGCAAAGGCAAGGAAATGTCTTGCTACCTTCGGCCAGATTCAACAAAAAAGGATAAAAAGTGGACGAAATCAGGCTGGGAACCTGTATTGTTTCATTGGAGTGGGTTGGGACTGGTGGGTGGGTTCTGTGGTTCGGACTGTCGGACTGTTGGATTTTTTCCAATCTGACATGAGGGGACTGGTCCAGTGAGGTGTGGTGACAAATTAGAGTGAACATGTCACTGGTCCTGACGAGTGTCCACACCACGTGTTCACTGTTTCTTGATTCCCGCTCTTGCCAAGGTCTCACATGTGATGATGGCAGTGCCTGGTACCCCAGCAGTCGTGCGCACGCTCCTTTTGAGTCTTGAAGAGACTGAGTGAGTGACTCAAACCACTTGCCAATTCTTGGTGCTAATGGTGACGTGCGTATTCTGTTTTCTAGTCCTCGTGTGTCTGCATTTATGCGAATGAAGCCTAATGAATCTGAAGATATCTGTAAATCAATAATCGAATACTTATGCAAAAAGAAAGATCATAACTGACTTACAGCTTCAGTTGCTAGCACGCTATCATGAAGAATACTTCAAATCTGACACTCATTGAATTGGCACATGGTGAAACTTGCCAGCTGTGCCCAGGCCAAAGGACTATGTGCCAGGATTCCCAGTGACGGTCAGCTGTTCATCTTAGAAGCCAGTGTCAGTTTTGTGTTACAGTTGATGAGCTGTTCTTCTTCTTCTTCTTATGATTTTTCTTCTAACAAATGATGGTTTGCATTCCACCCCAACTGAAACTTCCATCTACTGGGCTGGGAAGCCCATGTACTGGGGCTGGGAAGCCGACGTAATGGGGTGAATAGTTGAACATGGTTGAACCATGAGGCCACGCACGGGCAGCGTCTAAGTTGCTCAAGCCCTCACACCATGAGCCGCAAAAGGACGAGGGCAGGTGCAGGAGCATGTATGGAAGACTTGGTAATGGTTCTTCCTGAAATGAAGCTGATCCGCATGTGGGGCTTCTTTGTAAAAATGCAAAAACATCCATGACATCATGCCCTGGCACGCCGTCCGTGAGTGAAACCAAGGACCACCCCATATCCGGTTCCAGCAGACCTCAGTGAGATCAACAATTGGCCACACGTGGTGTTGGAACGATGTTGCATGCTTTGGGGTGAAAGGGCGGTGAAAACACAGCTGAGAACTTTGTCTAAATTTTTCCACGTGAGTCACATGAGTATTGAATCTCAGTCCAACCCTTTTGTGAACATGCCACTCTAGAACTGAAGCCTTGAGTCACCTCTTACGCGTCACACGATCCGAGGACAGGTGGACTGGAGCATCACCAGCTTGTTCAGTGGAATTGAATGCTTGCGTGAAGCTTTGGCAATCTTGGACACTGCCGTCGCTGACAGGTTTTCTTTCGCGTTGGGTGTCAAATACTCTTTGATGGCATCTCGCAATGAATGTTTAATCAGTTTGATGGCGTGTTCTAGTCTTAGTCTAGTGGGTTGTTTGCTGCCTGGTCCATGGTACAGTTTCAAAGACATTTCTGCGAGGTAGAAAAGAACACCGTATGCAACAAGCTCTTGGTGGACCACTACCCAACAACGTGTGTGACGAAGGACGTTTTCAACCTGTTGAAAACCACTCCCAAAGCCAAGACATGGAAGCCACACAAACTACGCTTGGCTGATGACTTTGAATGCTGCACCCACAAAGGGCGGTTGCTTGACAAATTGGGCCCATTTGTTCTTAAGCAAGTTGAGTTTTTGAGTTCGGTCTCAAATTCACTTTGATCTGACATTAGAACACCGACCCTACCCTTTGAGCGTGCCCTCCTAAGGTGTCCATTGAGCTGGGAAGACAATTCTGTCTTGACCCTTGGGGCTCCGTGCATCTCGCACAGCAAGTATCTTTGCCTAAGCGGTGTCACTGACTGTCATCCATTGTGTTTACATTTGAAAAGCTTCTTTCACGGAGACACATGTTGTCATCCAATTAAAGCTTACCAATTGTTTGGGAACGATCACAAATGGTCGTCAGGATTGGGAAGGGGGATGGCTTCTCCAATGAACATACGAAGAAGCTCCATGATGTTGGCACCCGGGCCATGAATAACACCAAACTGTGCATCCATGAGAACGTGACTGAGTTTGATGAGGAGAATTGTCTTCGATTATTGAACCGTCACTGCTGTGATTCATTTCTTTGCACATGGTATGCGCTAGCAGGACGACTATTTGTCACGTGAAACTGGGTTCACAATCGAGAAAGCAACGCTACTTGTCAGCCTAGTCCTAGTCATGTCACAATTATATGGAGTGAATGTCTCCACTTTGAATGCCCATGAACCCCTGGTTTTCTCACTGAGATGCCTGCCGTCCCAAGGCTTTCTCCTCGATGCTTCGGTGAGCCTACCAGCAGGGAGCGATCTTGGAGGATTTTGTATGATCCCAACAAGCTGCGATGGAATTGCATGTACTCATTTGAAGAGCTGACCAAGATTCTTTTGTGTTCACCAAATGCTCCTTTGAACACCTCACCGTGTCTTTTCTTCTGGGGTAAACCTACCACCAGCAAGACTTATCACGGTGAAAGTACTACTTTGTGCAATTCTGCCAAGACCTTCCTGGCATCATACACCGAGAAACGCCCCAGTAAGAACTACTTCGACCTCGCTTCCAACCCAGAATATGTGTGCCGCACGGAGACCATAGATGGGGCACTGATGACGTTGACGACAAACACCAGGATTTGGAGACTTGGGCTTATATATTTGTTTGCAAGCTATTGTTGGCTGTGGGCTGTGAAGTTTCTAAATGCCTTTCATTCATCGCATTCACCGCCTGCCCCAAAAAATCAGGAGCAGGAAGAAGAGAAGGCTCATGCTGGCCAAGGAGATGCTGTCCACCCTTGGCTACCCTGTGCACCCGAGCAGTGCCACTGACTTAGGCGCTGCAGCTTGGCCCAGGTTCTAGGGCTTGAAGTTCACTGGAAAACTTTAGTTTCCCTGCCGGCTGGGAAGCCTTTGGTTACACAGTAGGCTGGGAAGCCTCCAGTTTCATGGTTTGATGGGGGTCCTCATTTTCTAGTGATGCTTTTTAATTGCTTTGATTGGGTGTCCATGGAGGTGTGTCACATGTATGACCCGCATCTGGTTCTAAGGATGTGAGGACACTTGAAGGTGCATCTGGGGCTGCGATTCGCAAAATGGCCGGAAACGGCATGCATTTAGCATCTGGGGCCTTCACTGCCTTAATTGCAATGTTGTGCTTAAGCCCCAACGTGGGCTAGAGCACGCGAACTATTTTCGCAACCAAGCCATATGGCCGGGGTCTATGGGGAAAATTGTGCACCCTGCATGGGTTTTGGAACTAGATTCAATTTGTTTCGGGTTGAATCGATGAGGGCAGTGGGTTGAAACAATCAGGGACGTTCTGGTCACATGAAACACCAAGACCATTCAGAAGCAGGGTTGAAATGATGAACCAAGCCGGGTCCTGTTCTTCCCAAATTGCATGTGGGAAAAGCGTGGTAAACTGGAAACATGTTTGTCTCTGAGAGTAATGAAACTAATTTCTGGCCGTTACAGTAAGTTGTTGTACAATAAGTCCATGATACGATGCATTATGTGCGCTTCCCTGTTATTACCGCCGCAGTTTCTTCGTCCTATGATTGAATAGTTTCAATGTACCACAGGTTCCTCATTGCCTGCGTGGGGT